AACTCAAGAAACAATTTTCTCCTTCTCAATCTTCCTCTCCTTTGTAGCTGTAGCACTATTTATGTCCTGTCCTTTAAGCACATTCTGCCTTTTTTTTTGTAATTTCTGCATTCAAATTTCTAGTTCCAGTGGGGTGAAACAGGCACTTCCTGTTGCCTGTTGTCATGGTGACTTGTCAAATCGGTGCTCCACTGATAGTGGCTTTTCATACTTGTTGCACATAGGTTTAACTGTGAGTGGACCAAGTTAAAATTGATTGAACTAATTGATAGCAGCCGTTATGAAACCTAAAACGCACAGTTCCTGATTTTAGGCTAGATTAATTTAGAGTTGAGGATCTGAATTTGTCAAAAATGCTGTGTGAAAAATATGTGCTGCTGCCGCAGGGACGTGACACTATGGAACATCTCAGCCTGTTTTATTTGATGAGAAGTTTAAACCCCCACCTTCTTAATGTTCCACTCTCTCTGAGCAGGGATGACGCTGTGTCCTCGGTGTTCTGCTGTCTCTGCACACACACTGCACACACACACGTTGTCCGTACGGCAGAACATGTCCAGGCCTCTCAGGTGGACGGGACACAGCGGCATGTTGGAGGGGAAGTCAGAGAACGAGCCCCCACTGTAGCTGCATTAAAGACAAAGGCATTAATTTAGTAAACATGAGCCACAAATCCTTTAGAGATAAAAAAAATAGATGTTTATTTTCCTGTTTTTGGTAAATGGTATCACTGCTGAGTTCACAAAAGGTCAGAGAAGTTACACTTAAAGTCGTTTAAATAGCATCCTCCAAAGTATTCATCACCTTGGCTGGGATCTCAGTAAGTGAAACAGGACTAAACACTGAAAAATAGACCAAACTCCAACATCAGTATATCTCTCTAGGGTGGAGTCACAGCCAGACAGGTTCAGACCAGATGAAGCTACTATGAGAAAAAGCAGAGAGAGCAGAACGTTTCCTGTTCTGCTGTGACTCCATCCTGGAGAGAATTATCAGCTGTGCTGCTGCCATCAACACCTTTGTTTCTAGATGTTGGAGCCTGGCCT